ATGAATGATAATTACAATTGTAAGTTGTACAATGAACCCTTGGTTAACTTAAAGCTCTAAAACCTATGCACAGTCATGTTAATTGTATCTCTCTCTATAGAAATGTATTGATCTATCTGCGGCCAATAATGTTTGGGTAACAAAAGATGTATTAATATGTCTCTTGTCAATAATGTATTAGCTGATCATGATAACTAATTGGAAATGGCAGATGGAGAGGAAGTGATGCAAATGAGGTAAATGATGATACAGAGATTTGAGATGTAAAACGGAGAATGGTAAGGAATGAGTGTGTGTGTGGGGGATGGGTGATGCAACAGCTGGTCTTGGTTCCTATCACAGTGTAAAAAAACCAAAAGGTTATGGGAATATGATAATAAAACAAGAGAACTTGGAGAAGGACATTTAGGAGTAATTCGTACATAAATGCAACTGTAGACAGGTTGTACATATGATCCAAAAAGGTGGTGCTGCAAAATTAAAAGAGAAATGCTAAGGCCTGAGTCTAGGGGAAATATTACAATGTAAGGTTGTGTAGAAGGGTACAAAGATTGATGTGAACAAACCAAGAGAGCAAAGCATCAATGTGTTTCATCTTGGAAAAATAGAATCTTTCTGATACAGAACTGATACAGTCAGGTAATGCCCGTTGTAAAGACTTGAAAGGAACTGACTGAATGTGTCCAGATGCCAAACAGTCCATCTCCTAGTATGATAGTGATGGAAATTAGGAAAATTTGGGGATTTAGACCTGGGTTTCAATTCTGTCTTCCTGGTTGTATGATTTTCTGAGTATCAATAAAATAGTCAACACAACACTTGTCATTTAATACATATTTAAGAAATGGTCAGTGAATCTGTTATTAACAATCACTGTAGTACTGACATTACTTCAAAAGATGAGCTAAACTTTCTTTCCCTCTTCTTCTTCTTCACACCAGTTTCCTTTCTTTCCAAGAGCATTTCATGTATTCCCATTTCAGGGGAGGAAACATGGTAGCCAAGAATAAAGATAGCTGATCAACTTTGACTTTCAAATTACAGTTTTTGAAGGCAAGTCAAGAAAAGCTTGCATTCTCTTAACAATTCTCTCTTCTTTGGAAGAAGAAAGGACTTGTAGGAGAGCTAGGAAGAATGGGGATTCATGATGTTAGAGAAATTTTTCAACACTGCAATAGTAGATATTTATTCAATTGTAACAATGTGTAGAAGAATCCAAGGGGATGCAACTAAGGTTCAGTAACATCTGAACTCTAAACATCTAAACCTAAATCAAATCCCTTATGATTATACAGTGTAAGTGACAAATAGATTCAAGGGATTAGATCTGATAGACAGAGTGCCTGAAGAACTATGGACAGACGTTCATGACATTGTACAGGAGACAGTGATCAAGACCATCCCCAAGAAAAAGAAATGCAAAAAGGGAAAATGGTTCTCTGAGGAGCCTTACAAATAGCTGAGAAAAGAAGGGAAACTAAAGGCAAAGGAGAAAAGGAAATATGTACCCATTTCAATGCAGAGTTCCAAAGAATAGCAAGGAGAGATAAAGTCTTCCTCAGTGGTCAGTGCAAAGAGATAAAGGAAAATAATAGAATGTGAAAGACTAGAGATCTCTTCAAGAAAATTAGAGATACCAAGGGAGCATTTCATGCAAAGATGGGCACAATAAAGGACATAAATGGTATGGACCTAACAGAAGCAGAAGATATTAAGAACAGAATGCAAGAATGCACAGAAGAACTGTACAAAAAAGATCTTCATGACCCAGATAATCATGATGGTGTGATCACTCACCTAGAGCCAGACATCCTGGAATGCGAAGTCAAGTGGGCCTTAGGAAGCACCACTACGAACAAAGCTGATGGAGGTGGTGGAATTCCAGTTGAGCTACTTAAAATCCTAAAAGATGATGCTGTGAAAGTGCTGCACTCAATATGCCAGCAAATTTGGAAAACTCAGCAGTGGCCACAGAACTGGAAAAGGTCAGTTTTCTTTCCAATCCCAAAGGAGGGCAATGACAAAGAATTTCAAACTGCTGCACATTTGCACTCATCTCACAGGCTAGCAAAGTAATGCTCAAAATTCTCCAAGCCAGGCTTCAACAGTACATAAATCATGAACTTCCAGATGTACAGACTGGATTTAGAAAGGGCAGAAGAACCAGAGATCAAGTTGCCAACATCTGTTGGACCATTGGAAAAGCAAGAGAATTCCAAAAAAACATCTACTTCTGCTTTATTGACTATGCCAAAGCCTTTAACTGTGTGGATCACAAAAAACTGTGGAAAATTCTTAAACAGACGGGAATACCAGACCACCTTACTTGCCTCCTGAGAAACCTGTATGCAGGTCAAGAAGCAACAGTTAGAACTGGACATGGAACAACAGACTGGTTCCAAATCAGGAAAGGAATATGTCAGTGCTGTATATTGTCACCCTGCTTATTTAACTTTTATGCAGAGTGCATCATGAGGAATTCTGGGCAGGATGAAGCACAAACTGGAATCAAGATTGCTGGGAGAAATATCAATAACCTCAGATATGCCAATGACATCATCCTTATGGCAGAAAGTGAAGAACTAAAGAGCATCTTGATGAAAGTGAAAGAGGAGAGTGAAAACGTTGGCTTAAAGCTCAACATTCAGAGAAACAAATATGGCACCTGGTCCCATCACTTCATGGCAAATAGATGGGGAAACAATGGAAACAGTGATAGACTATTTGGGGGGGCTCCAAAATCACTGCAAATGGTGACTGCAGCCATGAAATTAAAAGATGCTTCCTCCTTGCAAGAAAAGTTATGACCAACCCAGACAGCATATTAAAAAGCAGAGACATTATTTTGCCAACAAAGGTCCGTCTAGTGAAAGTTATGGTTTTTCCAGTAGTCATGTATGGATGTAAGAGTTGGACAATAAAGAAAGCTGAGTGCCAAAGAATTGATGCTTTTGAACTGTGATGTTGTAAAAGACTCTTGAGAGTCCCTTGGGCAGCAAGGAGATCCATCCAGTCCATCCTAAAGGAAATTAGTCCTGAATATTCATTGGAAGGTCTGATGTTGAAGCTGAAACTCCAATACTGAGGCCACCTGATGCGAAGAACTGACTTATTTGAAAAGACCCTTATGCTGGGAAAGATTGAAGGTGGGAGGAGAAGGGGACGACAGAGGATGAGATGGTTGAATGGCATTACGGACCTGATGGACATGAGTTTCAGTAAGCTCCGGAAGTTGGTGATGGACAGGGAAGCCTGGCATGCTGTAGACCGTGGGGTCACAAAGAGGCGGACACGACTGAGCTACTGAACTGAAACTCTTTAGAATCTTCTACCTTTCAGAATGTGACAAAAAAAATTATACTGGAAATTTATCATTTGGGTTAAATCCTTCATATCATTCAGAACAAAAATTATGTCCAAAGTAAGGTTAATAGATAAAATGAGACTTCTTTAGGCAGTGTCTTTTCAAATAACTTCTACTGTGTTAATTGTGCAAATAACAGTAGATCTTGAAGTTATGCTGAACATACCAGATTTTTAAAAGGCTAAAGATAACAAGGGCTCAGTGATCAATCAAATAAATGCTTTGGAAATAGACCTATATTCAAATCCCACCTTGGCCACTTACAATAACACTAGTGATATCTTCTTTAGTAAGTTATTTAACTCTGGGAGCCTCAGTTGCTTTACCAGTAAAAGAGAGATTATACTATTGACCTGAGTTTTTCTGAGGTTTACCAAAAATGATTTTAAGAAGGCCTAGTACTCAGCTTGGTTCTCATTCAACAATGACTCTGACATTGGCAATTTTCTCATATCTCTTTGAAGCAGTAGCAAAAAACTTAATAATCTGTATGAATAGGCAAAAAAGTTAGAAACAAAGAATAAATAGGCTAATTGATACTTTAAAATGGGGAAAAAAAAACGGTCTTGCTGTAGCACAGATTTCATTCTAATGGGAAGGGGAGAAGGTTACACAGAGGAGTGTTAGGGATGCTGAATAAATTGCTCCTCTTCACAAGTCTGACAGCCTACACTCTGCCTGTGACTTATTCCAGAGGCCTGTGGAAATGTGGTAACAAGGGCAATTGTTTCATTTTCCTTTGTAATGATAAGTGAAAAATGGATAGTCAATAAAAAGAGATTATGAAAATGATCAAGAAACCCTGACTGTCTGTACTATTTATTGCCACTTCACATATGCTTCCTATGTTTCAATTTAATGTTATATATGAATCACTTTCAAATGACCAAAAAAGGAAAAAAAAAACAATTTTAGTCCACTAATGGGCAGTTTATGGAGCTCAATTTTAAGGACTCCAAATTCTTCTTAGATTGTAAACATATTTATGACTGACCAGAGGCAAATAATAATAATGATTCTATGAAAACAATATTTACTTACCCAGTTGGAGCACAAGTATTAGATTTATTATTATGAAAACAACGTGTTTGTGCACTTCCCTCTCTGTGGGTCCCCACTTGGAATAAAAATTAGACTGTCCAAATAAAGCTAAATAAACAGGGTTGAAAGACCGCTGGATGAATTCTAAAATATTCAGTATGGTTTATTATAACTGATCAGGCTAAACAAGGGACAAATGAAGATTCACTTCAAACTACTGAGCTAGGGAGCACGATTAAAAGAGACACTCCTTACTTATCCAGAAGTAAAGCTGGACTTTCAGTACTGATTACAAGGTGAGAGAAATGAACACTCTGATAACACTGTAGTCAGTGTTTGTAATTCAGAAGTGCTCTTTGGAACACCATTCTAAAAATGGTAGGTGTTGCTTTCCAATTTTCAGAGGATAATACCTATTGGCTCCAAAGCATCACACATAGCGTTCCATAGAAAAGATGAATTTACAAACTGAACATTGAAAGACTCTAAGAGATACTGCAAATGGTTATTCAGGTAACTTTTCTTTCCTTCAACAAAACAAAAGCAGGAAACAAATATGAAAAGAAAGAACCTTACAAGAAGGGACTCAGCTTACCTCCATCTAGCTCCTCAGCCCCAAAATGATTCCTGTAGAAGAGCATGATTTCTATCTTGTAACATTTGTAGATGGTCACCAAACAAACGAGCAGCAGAAGGATAGCACCAAGCCCTCCAGCAAGTTCAACTGTATACATCAGCTCTAGAAAAAAAATTACCAGAGGGAATTATACCATATTCACACACAAAATCATAAATTCAACTTGATTTCACACTTCTGTGGATGAGATCAGATGTGGGTAATGGATTGACACAACCCCTTTCCTTTCTGCAGTAGAATCTGACCTTTTGATAACTTTCTAGCTGTTTCCTTGGTAACCCAATAAGGTGGCATGTGGTAACTGTGTTGCTAAGCAACATTGCTTATGGTAAGAATGAACCTACATTGGTAGATTGCATTTGGACTGATTTGTAAATACCTGATTGGAAACTATAATTTGGGACTTGCTAGAATGAAAGTGACTCTTACACATAAACCTATTCCTGTGGGAATCCTGCAAGGTATGCTGGAGTTGATAAAAGAAATACTGGTTCCTCTGGAGATGAAGCTTTTAAGCCAGGATAGTTTCTGAACTCACCCAATCTGAACCTTAATCTTTCCCACCTCAGCCATCACCCGGAGGTCGGGGCTGAGGAGAAATGAGGGGAAACTGCACAGTTCCTGAAGGGCAGTGTGGAGTGCTGCATAGAGAGTTGGGTGGACCACCTAATGAATACTGTCTGTTGGCTCCTGCCAGAAACGCTAACACTTGTCTTTCTCAACAGAGTGGTGCCAATATGGCTGACCACAGTCTTGGAGGCTGAGTGCTAACTTGGGGGCTTAAGAACTAGGCTCCCTAGTGGATGTCACACCAGACTATATGGTCGTTTTTCCCTTTCACTAAGCTCTTAAAGGGGCTTCCCAGGTGGCTCAGTTGTAAAGAATTGGCCTGCCAGTGCAGGAGATGCTGGTTTGGTCCCGGGGTCAGGAAGATCCACTGGAGAAGGAAATGGCAGTCCACTCCAGTGTTCTTGCCTGGGAAGTGCCATGGACAGAGGAAGCTGGTGGGCTACAGTCCATGGGGTTACAAAAGAGTCAGTCACGATTTAGCGACTAAACAGCAGCAACAGAGCTAAATATCTTTTTCTTATCCTTTCTTTCCCCTTCGACTTGGTATGTTACTACATTCTATCCAAAAGAGTAATTTTCTTGCCACCCTCTGTATACAAGTTCTCTTATTCCTATAGAATGTCTATAAAACAGAATAAATGATCAGACAATTTTAGAGATAAAACATTCACTTCTTTTTACTCCTTCAGAGCTCATGGACAATGTAACAAATTCAATGATACTGGTATTTAAACACTAGGCCAGAATGCACAGATTTTGAAGTCCACTTTAGTGAAACTTTAATTAAACTGCCTGTGTATGTATGTTGACCTTGATCATCATAGTCCAAATGTTACTGATGGGTTGCTATTGTTCCCTGCAGTTGACAACTACCTTAAAAGTACTAGTTTCCTTAATTACCACTAAAGATAACTATTCCTGAAATTATGGCCCTAAAGTAATGGTATTTTCAATTCTGTAATTTATAATCCACCAAAGGGTTGTCTAACTCTGTAATAGTCGATGTAGTCTTAGATTAAGAATTTTAAAAGAATCTATGGTTTTGCAGTGACAACTACTCTTGGCTTCCAAGATCACTCTTGAGATCTTACTAATGGGGTGAAATCATCATGGGTGCAACGCAGTATCAGTGATAAATAATCTGAAAAGTATGGCCATCATATTCTCACAAGGACATTTTTGTATTTTTGTGTGTGTTTGCATGTGATGTCACTTATCCTGTGATGATTACAGGAAAAAACAAACAAACAAACCTCAGCCATACTTCTTATCTCGTCATTCATTTCTAATTCAACAGTTGAATAAAAACGTACATTTAACTAGTGTTTAATCAAGTGTAGCTTTCTGCTCTTATTAAAATGAAATAGGCCGCAGAAGAAAAACTTACAAAAAGTGATTGGAATTTATGAATTTAATAAAGAAAAAATAAAGTGAGTTATTAAATCTTTAGGAGTCTAAGTTAACATGAAGTGTGAATTACTAAGAAGTATCTCACGGAAATTTATATAGTTTGTATTTATAAATATCAGACAGCTTTATCTGCTGAATCTTGTGAGGGACTACTACAAAAGTACCAGGAATGAAATAAAAACATGCTTCAGTATACTATTTTCCTACTACTATGTGAACAGAAAGGATTAGTGGGTATATAATTCTGTGTGGTACTTTGGGTCTTGTTTTCTCAGGATATCAGTTAAACTCCACCACACATAGCCACCTGCATAAAACTCTAACTTAGGCCCAAGGCTAATTTACATACCAGAAAATCTGATTTCAATTATACTGGATATAATGGGAGAGATAAGCATTTGGACTGTGGCTTCTTTTAATATTCCTTCTGTTTTCTAATATAATGCATTTCATACTTGGAATTCATCATTCTAAAACATGTTGTGTGAGAAGAGAAATTACAAAAATAATGGAGAATGTGTAAGCTCTACTCCCAAACACTGCTAGTGGAAATGCCCAAATGAAACTTCTGTATTAGAAAAATTTGAGTAGTTGCTAATAAAGTTAAATATGAATCTACCCTAAATATGAATCTACTCCTAAGTTCTTACTCAAAGGAAAAATAAGCCAATGTCTACAAGAAGACTTGTACAGGATGTTCAGAGTAGTCTTATTCATAGTAACCACAACTGGAAGCAACCCAAATGCTCATTAACAGGGTGTGATGAACAAACTACTGTGTGTCAATAGGATTCAATACACTCAGCGGTACCAAGAAAGAACTGCTGATAACATGCAGCCTTCGTGAATTTCACAAAATGATGTTAGCTGAAGGAAGCCAGACACAAAGAAATACCTTCAGTATATATATTTAAATAAAGTCCAAGAGCAGGCCAAAATAAACCTTAGTGATAAAGATCACAAAATGGATGCTTTGTGGATGAGTGACAGGAATATTTATTGGAAAGGGGAAAGAGGGAACATTCTGGGGTTAAAAAACAAAAAAAAAAACCTCTGTATCTTTTTCAGGTATAGATACAAACATATACATTTGTCAAAACTCACTGAGCTAGACACTTAAAACTTTTATGCTTTACCTTGGGTTAATTGCACTTCAATTCTTTAAAATATTGGTATTTTTAAAAAGAGCCATTATAAGTTCTAATCCAAGGGATATGGGTGAGGAAGTTGTAAGGAAAGAAGGGAGTCAAGACAGCTGCTTTGCTGTAGAGAAGTGCCCAGGCAGGGAATGGTTCTTCCATGGTGCCCTTAAGCTTATCCTTTGATTCTAGAACCATGCCTTACATACTCATATCTCGCTGAATAGCTTATGTAACAATCAAAAACTATGCCTGAAATGTAATTCTATTAATTCAATAAGCAGAATTCTTTTCCCTCAGATAGTATTTATAACAGTGGTCTTTATACACATTTTTTATAACTCCTAAAAATTAAGTATGTGTAAGTTAAAAATGTTAAGAAAGTAAGCTCTTCTTATTTTTAGGGAAGTAGTTGCCCAAATATGAATTATTCCCATTGCTAGATGTCATGAGCCACTCAAAAACCATAAATACTACCAAAACACACTGCTTACGAGGCTAACCAATAATACTAAATGTATTATAATAATACTAAATGTCTAAAATGTAATGAGAAAAAGAGAGCAGGGTAGGTGAGGTTTATCAATTACAGAAATGCTCTTGTGTCTCATGAATCCCTCCTTTAAGGTACAAACATGAAAAGTTGTATATGCCTAGAGTATGAGCAACAAAGAAAGAAAAAAATCTTCTGAGCCATATGGCAGTCATTTACTTAATAATAGGGATACCAAAAATTAGTCCAAGAAACAGCATTTGCAAAAAGCTAACTTATCTTGAATCAAACCAGTCAATCCTAAAGGAGCTCAACCCTCAATATTCATTGGAAGGACTGATGCTGAAGCTGAAGCTCCAATACTTTATCTACGTGATGCAAAGAGCTGACTCATTGGAAAAGACCCTCATGCTGGGAAAGATTGAGGGCAAGAGGAGAAGGGGACGACAGAAGATGAGATGGTTAGATAGCATCACTGACTCAATGGATAGGAATATGAGCAAACTCCAGGAGATAGTGAAGGACAGGGAAGTCTGGCGTGCTGCAGTCCATGGTGTTGCAAAGAGTTGGACAAAACTTAGTGACTGAATAATGACAACAAGTTATCTTGAGATCATGACAGTATCTCAGATTTTCCTCAGAAACTAAAGTATTACAAGGAGAAGCACAGTGTCTTATAACTAACTTGCAAGTTGGAAAATAAATGTCTTTACCTAGTTTATATAATAATGCCTGTAGTCACTGGACTACATTGCTTTCATTTAAGACTAATAAACATGGCTTCGGTAGTATAAATGTATGCAGCTTAAAAATTTTTCCATTTAGGTTTTTTTTGCATTGGTTTACATAGCATGTGTAAATTCTCCTGAAGAAAATGATATATTAGATTCGGTTCCACATTCTTTTGCTCTAAGCTGGACACATTCATTAATATGAGTGCCAGCCAATATTGCTTACACATTAGGTGAGGACAAAATTACTAGGGGTTAAATTCTGTTACAGTTAAAAGAAATGATGTGAACCCACTGCTGTATTTTATCTTTACATTACAATGGGAATGGTGTTGCCCTAGCAAATGTCATTTCCTTTTGAAATGGGATCTACTTTTCAGCTCAAGTTCAAGCTGCCTGGAGTGTCAGCATTTAAAAAATAAAAAGATTCCATTTCGGCACAATTCAGCATCAGAGGATGGACAAAGAAAATGCAAACCTTTAAAACTCTGTTTAGCCTCTGTGTTATTTTGTTAAAATGATAGACTCTGCCCCCTTTAAGGGACTGAGATGGAATACAGAAAATTGTAAAGCAAAATCACTGGGTAAAACCTAAGGGAAACTGGCATTTGGTTAAACACAACAAATGAAAAGTGCCAAAGAGTTACGTTTAAGGGCGCCAGCAGTCATTTAGTTACAGGCAATTAACAATAGTCCATGGAAAGCTCAAGTATGGGCTAAGGGAAAACACATTGATTATTGCTGCAGTAGTAGACTGCT